CACAGGCCCACGCAAGAGAGTTTATTATAGGAGAGAGTGGCTTCCCAGAAGGGGGGGTTGGGGAGAAAGAGAGAGAGAGAGGGAGCACCAGAGAGAGAGAGACAGAGAGACAGAGAGAGAGCGAGAGAGCCCGCGACAGAGACAGAGAAACAGAGGGCAGCAGCGTGGTGCCTTTTATTGTGGATCTGCTCAGCCTGCTGCTTTGGGGGAAGGTCGGGATATTTATAGATAAGGCGTGGTAAAACCAGGCAAGCCCCAGACTGAGACCTAATGATACACTGAGAGGACAGACAGAGCTCCTGGCGTGAGCCAGGCGGGGCCAAGAGAGCCCGTGGTGGTGCATTGTCTAGGAGTTTTATAGGCAGTTGAGGATATTTGGGAATGTGAAAAATGCTTAGGGCTGTGGACTTTAAGGCAAGTAGTAGGTGTTTAGGATTGCAGGGGAGACAGAAAGAGCTGGGTTCGGAGGTAGGAGAAGGCCTGGATATATGGGATCTCTTTCCATTTGTTCATGCGCTCACAGAAGTTGTGCAAGTCGTGGAGAATTTTATGATCTAAAGAGTCATTGGGGGACCATTTAGACTGATTGTCCAAGGGATATTGTGGCCAGATCTCATTACAGTAGCGAACAGGTTTGAGGTCTGGAGTGAGGTGGAGGGGGGGCACTTTAGATTACTGAGTAAGCACCCTAGCAGTGAATCTGCAGGAACAGAGGGCCAGATCCCATGGTGAGAACGAGACCATTCAGAAGTTGCTGAGGTGTCCACAGTTAGAGGGCCATCACCACCTCTAACTGTGGGGTCGAGGCGAAAACGCTGGGGTGGCTCGGTACCTGGTACCAGGAGTTTCTGAGTCAAGTAGAAATGTAGATAAAGGGAGACCGGGCCTCAGTGGATGAGGATTCTCACCATGGAGAGACAGAGAAGGGTCGACTGTGGGGATCAACCGTGACTCTGAAAGTCATGGTTACGGGTGCCGGACCCTCAATGGTCACTTCCCAAGTTCCAAAGGGACATTTAAGTCGGCCATGAAGGGGAGACTCACCAAATCGAAGGCCGGTGTTGGGCTGAAAGACGAGCGACCGGGGAAATGGACGGTGAGCCCATGGAGGAGGACTGGGCAGTGAGGGTTCCCAAAGCAGCTCAGATTCCTGGAGGAAGAGCAAAGTCAATGGGAGAGCCTCATCTGAAGTCACAGCACCAATGAAAGGGTATCTCACCGTGACCCTCCTTATCCAGAATGACTCAGGAGACACGGGCCCACGCAAGAGATTTTATTATCTGAAAGAGAGAGTGGCTGCCCCCAGAGGGGGGTGAGGAGAGAGAGAGAGAGAGGGAGAGGGAGAGAGAGAGCAGAGAGCAGAGAGAGCAGAGAGAGCAGGGAGATCAGGGGGACAGAGACAGACAGAGAGGGAGAGAAAGCAACAGAGACAGAGAGAGCCACAGAGACAGAGACAGAGACAGAGAGGGCAGCAGTGCGGCGCCTTTCATTGTGGATCTGCTCGGCCTGCTGCTTTGGGGGAGGGTCAGGATGTTTAGAGATAAGGCGGGGTAAACCCAGGCAAGCCCAGGCACAATTCTCACCAGCTTATGTGCTTGGGACCATGGGGCAAATGGAGGATAAATTACTATATTCTTACAGTATGTACATGAAATGTGAATGTGAAACTTTGAAAGCACCTTTCGAGAATTTGATAAAGTTTACTATTTCTTAAAAGTTTTATAAGTAACACTAACTAGTTGATGTTCCTAATCCAGAGAAATATACTTTAGAATGTATTTATAATCAGTAACCTTTCAACTCAAATAATCCTTGTCCATATCTGAAAGGATGTATTGTTCATTTCTTTAAACAAATCAGCAACACAACATGAAAATTGTAAGCCTCTTTCCCTTACCAATTAATCACACAGCAGTGGTACATTTGGGACCTCCTCTTTTACTATTTCTGGCATTTGTGAATAGTTCTGTTCTAAAAGGACAGAAAGATAAATATCATACAGTCAATCTTCAAGGAGTTTATACACATGTCTGGGGCTGATAAATACAAGCTATGCTTTTATAATTCAATAGAATATACAGACTTTCAAAAAATATATAAAATAGAATAAATTTGATATTATAAAAGAAGTTTTCAGAATAAAATTAGTATTTGGCTTCATTTAAAACCTGATAGATCAAAATGGAAAAAGATGTTATGTTTGAGGAAGGAAAGTGGCACTGTGATTAAAAGGTTAAAATTCTAAATGTTTCTGAGATTTAGAAATTCACTGAGGTAAACTTACTTAGGAAAGGAGTGGGAATTGGTAAAAGAATAATTGTGTATTGATTTTGAAAAGCAATTTACATTCAGACAGTATAAAACAAAGGATAAGCATCTTAGGGATGGCTACAGATGAACACAACCTTAGAAAATACATGCATATTTCAAAGATGCTTTAAGAAAGCTAATGAGATAAATGGTCTTCTATGTGAGACTGTGGTTATGTGAGAGGCCACTGAAGGTGGAAAAAAGTTAAGGCGGGTCAAGGTAATAGCCTGTTTGGCTGAATAGTACTCTTTATAATTGTAAGAATGCTTTCATAAATGGCATGATTTCCACTACCAAAACATATACGTAGATCATAAAAATACTTTGTCCATGATAGTCATGAAATAAAGGAAAAAATAATGGAAGGTATCAACAGGTGCAATACAAATCAATTTATAGACCGAAGACCCTGCATTTTCTGTAGGTTAAAGCACTGATTAGAATGTTAAAATTAAGAAAGCAGTGAGTTGTGAAAATGAACAATTGAAGAAAAGTGGGAGGACCAAGATATTTGGACACACTAGCATTGAAATTGAGCAGGCTTTCAGTCTGGGAAACAGGAAATGAGGAAATGATTGAAGAAACTAAGGGAATTTTTTTTACAAACATCCAAATTACTGTTGTAATTTAAATTTAGAGATTTTTCAAAGAAAGTTTCAAAAGGATGATAATATGTACTGTGGCACATAAACTACTCTAAAGATATTTAAGAGAAAACTTAATAAAAATGCTAAATAATTTTGAGCAGAGGTCATGTGCTAAGTTCGAATGAAACTTGGTGAAATCCAAGGTTTTAGAAATATTAAGAGTCTTGGATATTTTCTATAGACTATAATAATGGAAAAATGACTCAGCCAAGAATAGGAAATATTGAAAAAGAGTAAGTCCAAATAAGACTTTTAAGGCTCTTAAATATACTATTTGAAAAGAGGGGGAAAAATCACAAGATCCAGGGTCACTGAATGACATGCGTTTCCCATGAAATGTCAGTGTTGAAAGGTTCTAGTGAAATCCAAGCAGGCAAATGTGGAAATTGTGAGAAAGCTGGAGCTTTTGATAAGTCTGTGTTAGGGTAAGCCAAAGCTTACACTAGGACTCCTTTGGATGAAATTATTTTTGAGGCTGTTTCTTTAGTAAAATTATGTGTATTTAAGCTGATACTTATATATTATAATGGTATATGTGATTTTCTATGTAAGAAACATATCAAACAAGCTGTAGTTTGAAGTACTGTCAGTCCAGGGAAAGGAAATCTCGGGCAAAATACTTCTAAAAACCAAAATCAGTCAAAGGGAGAAATAAAGTTTAAAACCCATTTCTCACTGCAGTCTCAGTCCGTCTTTCTTCTCTGCTCTAGCAGCTACCACACCGACCTTCCCGCTCACCTCTCAGGTACCAATAAACCCTCTGTTTCCCAGGTAATCAGAAAGCCATACTTCTTTCCACCTCTGAACACCTATTGATATGTAAATATACTAAAGCCAGGCGAGATATTCTGGAAAAGTTACAATTTTACCCACAATTACAAATATTGAAAATGTTGATATGACAGTAGTGACAACAGTCATACTCAGTAAACAGGAGGCAAGAAATTAAATTACATGAGATTTAAAGGATAGATAGTAAAATTTTAAATTTAAGGGAGAAGCAGAATTTAAAAATAAAGAAACAATACCATGTCAATCTTTTAGATTAATATTTTACATGGGGTAAATTTCTGTGAAGGATTCATGCCAAATCTAACAGTAATTTATGAATGCAATGTAGTTATATAAAAAATTAAATCATAATATGGAAAATGATATTCAGAAAATAAAAACAGAAAGGAAGTAAAGCTTTTCTTTTGTTATATTGTGTTTTGCTTTGTTTTACAACCACATATGATTCAACAATAACTCTAGGCTGTTTTAACATGAAGACAAAACATTTGCAAATAAAGTAAAAATTCAGTATATTTCCTAAACTGATCATGTTAATCTTCACTACCAAAGTTCAAGTCAACTAGATAAGTGCTTCTTGAACATGACATAAGGAGTTTTATTTTTCCTCCAAACTTTTAGTAATGTTTCTTTTCAAAAACTAAGTAACTTTCTAGAAAATTGATATTTGAAAATAATACAAAATATAAATCTAATGATGCCAGCTTTGGGTCACATAGCAATGCCAACATTTTATGACAGTGTGGACACTCTTAATCTTAATTGTGGCACTCACACTGAGACCAATGTACAAATCATGGACTCATGTTCTAATCCATAGACTGAAGAGCTCTGAACTAAATTTCTGCTCTCTCATTATCCAGGCAGAATGTGTTGTCCAACTTATAACATAACTAAATAACTCTTTTTTGAGAATTTATCTCTATTCAAAGACTTCATATAAAGTCAACTATGTCAATCTTCTTTGAAACAATAAGCCTCATAAGCTGGATATTACTGAAGATAAATAGTTCTATGTGTCATATCCAAACAGTAGGATTTGTGAGCCTAAACCCTAAAACTTTGCTCCTTTTTTCTACTCAGGAGTGGCCGAAAGATACATAGTTGAACTTCCCACAACACAGAGTCCAACATGTGAAATAGATGTAAATGCTGTGAAAGAATTTACAGTAATTTTATTAATTATTTTTCCATTCCATGTCTTTCATGGTTTATTCCCTTTGCTTTCCTGGTCAACCAGCATTTCCGGAAATGGCCAATTCCACCAAATTGACTGAGTTTCTTCCCATGGGCTTTGCTGAGATGCTGGAGTTAAGGGTCCTACATGCCCTGTTATTTCTACTGATGTACTTGGCCACCCTGTTAGGAAATCTCATCATCGTCACTGCCACCACTCTGGACCAGAACCTTCACACCCCTATGTACTTCTTCCTCAGGAATCTGTCCATCTTAGACATGTGCTACATTTCTGTCACTGTGCCCAATGCCTGTGTCAACTCCCTCACTGACAACAGGGCCATTTCAGTGGCTGGCTGTGCAGCTCAGATCTTCCTGGTGCTTTGGCTTGCTGTTACAGAGCTTCTGTTCCTCACCATCATGGCCCGTGACCACTATGTTGCCATCTGCCGGCCCCTCCACGACCCCGTCATCATGAACCAAAGAATCTGTATCCAGATGACACTGGTCTCCCTGCTCAGTGGTCTGATCTATGCAGGTGTGCACACTGGGAACACATTCCGGCTGTCCTTCTGTTGGTCCAATGTGGTCTGTCAGTTCTTCTGTGACATCCCCTCTCTGCTGCAGATCTCCTGCTCTGACACTTTCAGCAATGAGCTCTTAATTCTTATTTCTGCCATGGGGATTGGTGGTGGCTGTTTTATTTTCATTACCATGTCATATAGTGGCATATTTTCTACTGTGCTCAAGTTTCAAAGCAGAGAGCGAGGAAAGGCCTTTTCCACGTGTGTCCCTCACATCCTGGTGGTGTCCATTTTCCTCAGTTTTGGCAGCTATGTTTATGTAAGGCCTTCAGCATCCTCTGATACAATTCTGGACATGATTTTTTCTGTATTTTATAGCATAGTTCCTCCACTCTTGAATCCTATAATCTACAGTCTTAGAAACAAACAGGTAAAGGATGCTGTGAGGAAAATTGTATCAAGAAAGTTTTATACAGGAAAATTATAAAGATTCTTTTCAGGTTTATCCGAAGGTCTTGGTAAGATTTAAACTTTTGGAAAATCCACTATTTTTCTGTTTTACCCATTAGACTGCCAACTCTTGAGTTACATGTACTGGAATTGCGATTTGACTCTTTTTGTGTTTTATATCACCCTTTCAATTTTCTAAAAAAAATGGGTAAGGATTTTTAATCAATAGATATAATTCAAATAATTTGTTAAGAATCATTTTAGGTTGTGTTTGTAATTCAGCAATATTTAACAAAATAAATAATATACAAAAGAAATCTCAACAATTTCAACATGGAGATAGCTTAATGGCCATATTACCTGATTTTATGCAATGAAATAAAAAATAATAAATACTATGATACACAATTATAGAAATTCAATTACTTGGAAAATTTTAAAATGAAATAAAATAATGATCTAAGAATCATATATAATCAAGATAATAATGTCATGTATCTGGAAAATGGCAAAAATTATATCCACAAATGAGAACTAAAGAGCAGTGGTTTTAATCTACTTATTAATAAGGTAAAACAATTTTCCATTGTTTGTGGAAGGTACCATGTACCTTTGGCTGAGTCTCTCATTATATCAGCAACTCCTTGCTGAGTGGAACATTTTCAGATTATAACACCTTGCTGCTGGCTGCAAGTTGATTCTTATCTTCTCAGATACATTATCAAATCTATATATTTTTTCTGAGTGATGGGTCATGTCTGACATTATGAAAACTTAATCCTATCTATCATTCATTGTATTAAATAATACAAATTAGTATTAACATACATATTTACCAATATTAACTTTAAATTTATTTAAGCTTATTAGGGTGTATAGCATAGTCCTCCATCCAAACTTGTGACCTAAGAACCAGTATAAACATTTCCTTGTCTTTCATAACAGTGTATTTTCCTTAAACCTTCTATTTTATAAACTAGTATACACCTTTGCCTCATTAATTCCTAACAGTATTTACACATATTCAAGAACAAAGGAGAAAGAAATCCGTTCATATAAAATCATACCTAACACAACAAGTCCCAATAAAAATATATTGTTTCCAGGTCAGAAGCCTAGAGGTCAGATGTCAAAGTGCAGGCAGGCTTGGCTCTTTCCTAAGGCTGTGAAGAGAATCTGTTCTATGCTTCTCTGCTGGATTCTGCTGGCTTTCTGGCAAACTTTGGCATTCCCTGGTCTCTGCTGCATAACCCCCATCACTGCCCTTATTCTCATGTGGTGCTCTGTGTGTGTGTGTGTCTGCTTTTAAATCTTCCTTTTGATAATAATACTGGTCATACTAGAGGTTAGGCTTTAACATATGAATTTTTAGTGAATACAATTATATCCATAATGTCAATGAAAAAAATGAAAATATCACTGAGTAGTTAGTTGATGAAGAACACTAAGGGATGTTCACAGCGGTCATGGTGATTAATTGTCACTTTGGATAAATATTCTTTTACAGAGTGTCAATTAAATCTTATTGCTTTTGACCAGGAAAGAACTTCAGTTTGGTGGTGGAAGAGATCACGTCGTTTTGTGGTCAATAAAAAAGAAGAATATACCTATAGTTCTTTATTGGTTTCAGCTGATTAGAATTTATTCATGATGAAGTATAATGATCAGTCTTAATATCTCCACGAGAAGTGTTCTTTATGCATTTTTTTCTTTACAAATATTTTCTTATATTTTTGACTTTGGATAACCACGTAGAGGCTACACAAATTATCAGGTTTTAGTTCTATACCACCATCTTGGTTTCATATGACCTTTTTATGGGACTTTATTTTGTTTTTTCCAAGTTTTTCAAACTCTTTGATATAGAATCACCTGGTGCATAAGCCAACAGGATGGTGGCTCTGCCATAGCACTTAATATCTGTGAACAAGTTACCTTTAACAGAAACAATTAGGATCGAACAACATAACTAAAATTCCTAGAGCAGCAGATGTGTAGATGAACAATAGACACAAAAAAGATGATCAATGCCACTAATGACCAGGGAAATGTGAAACATAACCGCAGTGAGATATCAACTCGCACCAGAGTGGCTGATATTAACAAGACAAGAAAGAGCAGATTTTGGCAAGAATAGGGAGAAAAAGAAAAACTGTAAACTGCTGGTGCAACCAGTATGGAAAGGTATGGAGGTTTCCCAGAAAAGTAAAAACAGAAATACCATATGACCCCAAAATACCAGTTCTGGGAATTTACCTGAAGAAAAATTTGTCAGTAATCTGAAAGATATAGGCATCCCATTGTTTACTGAAGCATTATGTATAATAGCCAGGACATGGAAGCAGCTGTCATGTCCATTGACAGATGAATGGATAAATAAGCTATGGTACATAAATACAAAGGAATATTAGTCATGAAAACATATTTGCAGCAACATGGATGAGCCCAGACAGTGTTATGCTACAAAAAATAGGTCAGACAGGAAAAGAAACATATGGTCTGATTTCACTTAAAATGGAACCTAAAAAATAAAGCAAATAAAACAAATGAAACAGAAATAGACTCATAAACACACAGAACAAACATGATTGCAATGGTGTAGGGGGTTGTGGGATGGGAAAAATACTTGAAAGTTAAAGAGGTAAAAATTTCCAATTATTAAATAACTCAGAGTGATTAAAGTGCATCATAGGTAATATTGTCAATGTATTTCAATATCATTCTATGGGGATAGTTACTTTCTTCACATATGGCGAGAATTTTGTAAGGTAAAAAATAAGACTCAGAACTTAGTTGAACTTTCAATAAATAGAAGATAAAAAGGAGAATCAAATAACAATTCTAAAACAGAAAACCATACAAATTAAATAAATCCCAGGGATTGTCTCAAGAGTAGAGGACACAAAAAAACAACCATTGAACTTGAAGGAAAACAATATAAGTTGCCCAATATGATGGGAAGAAATTTGACTAAATGAGAATGAACAGAACCCATATAGCCTTATGGGACTGTAACTCGGGGGCTGGGGGGAAGTCCCGGGGCAAAACACCTTTGAAACTTAAATCAGTCAAAGGGAGAAATAAAGTGGGAGAAACCCATTTATTTCTTACAAGCAGTCCACCTCTCCTCTCCTGTGTCTCTTGTGACCCAGCTGCAGAAGAAGGGACCCCACCCAACTTCTCATCCAGATAAGTCCTGGCTCATACAAGTAATTACACAAGTAATATTGAGATGGACTACTTCTCTCCACTATTTGGAAATACCTATTGATACAGAGATGCACTAAGGCCAGGTGAGAGATTCTAGAAATCTTGCAATTTTACACAGAGCCCACCCCTCTAGATATTTTGATTTACAATCTACTTGTTACCCATCTTCTGCAATGGCTCCTGTGTGAGAAAACTGGAGCATTGTGACCAGACTAATAACATATAATAGCAACAATAAAATCGTGATAATTCTCAAGCCAGAGAATTCAGCTAGGTTTAAAGTCCTATGCAGATAAGTCCATAGTTCACTCATTCCACAGGTGGCCAGTAGTTGAATAGATAGTTTAAAGCAATCATCACATGGCAGTTACAGCCAGGGGGCAGGACAAACATTCTCCATCCAGTAGCCAAAAGATCCCAAAACTCTTGTAATATTGCCACAGTGGTAGGGGTAAGGAAGGCCTGGACATTGTCTATGACTCTTTCTGGGATAACTTTAGTTTTACCCAACCAGATGACCCCCAAGAACTTTACAGACAAACCAGCTCCCTGAACCTTGATGTTGTTCACAGCCCATCCTTTCTCCTGTAGTGGTTGCAGCTGTCTAGGAACTGCCCCTTCTAAATCTGCAAGAGAATCAGATGTGAGCAAAATGTCATCAATGCAGTGATACAGCCATACTGTTTTTGATTTCTTCCATGTGGCCAAATCTTTGGCTCCAAGTCCATGACAAATGGTGGGACTGTGGAGGTATTCCTGAGGAAGGACAGTGAGTGTCCGCTGCCGTTATTCCCACAGGAAGGGAAACTGTTCCTGACTTTCCTGTGCAATGTCAGTGGAGAAGAAAGCGTGACCAAGGTCTGCAGTATAATGATACATCCCCAGTTCATGACTGAGTGTGTCCATAATAGCTGCTATAGAGGGGACAGCAGCATGCAAAAGGGGTGTGACTTTATTAAATTCCCTGTAGTCCACTGTCATATGCCAGGAACCATCTGGCTTTTTCACAGACACATTGGGGAATTAAAAGGACTATTTGTGGGCTTTATGATGCCCACCTTCTCCAACTCCTGTAGAGTTTATCCAATTTCCTTGTGCCCCAGGCAATTTATACTGCTTGTATTTGTCACTCACCGAGGTACAGGCAGGTACTTAGCATGTCCCCTCAGAACTGCCTTTACCACACATACCCTCAGTCTGAACTCACCTACAGTGGTCTGTAACCACAGGTACTGCAAGATATCTACCACCCAAATATATTCAGGGATGGGAGAAATATACTCAGTGTACTCCTTTGTCAGTAAATACCCTATCCCCAGTGGGATTTGGGATTTCTTCACTCTAATTGCCTTACCCCCATAGTCATTAGTCACAGCAGGGGTCCTGGAAAATGCTCAGGGTTGTCATAAATCAGAGAACACTCAGCTCCTGTGTCCACCAGGACCAGGACACATACATTCACAGGTAACCAATGAATTGCTAATTCTACATGTGGCCTCTGATCCCCAAAACATCCCCCAACAAGGGGCCTTGACCCTCCATCAGTCTAACCATGATGCCCAGTTATCCTCCTGTGGGGGTAAGGACCCAGGTGGAACCTGATTATGGTCCCCCAGGAAGTCTTGCAGGGACACAGGCTGAACATGGGGCCTTGACTCCAGTTTCTGTGTCCTGGACACCAGCAGCTGGAACTGCTGCTCTGGCTTTAACTGGTGCCACAGTTCTAACAAGATCCTATTGGGCTGCCCATCAATAGGCTCTTTCACTACCCTGGCCTTTATCAAATAAACCCACATCTGGTCCTTGAGACCTTTCCGGGTCCTTTGC